GCAAGGCAATTTGATTCACTGTTAAAAACCCAACCCAACCCAGTCAGATCAGTGAATTGGCATTAGGTAGCCCCCCAAATCCGGTTTCTTGCCAACTGTCTAGATGTCTTAACACTACCGTGGACTCTGTGTTTGGGCTCGTTTGTCCTAAGATGGCGTTTTTGGTACAACTCTCTCCTTAACCAAGGGAATCGCCTAGACTCACCTCTGGGACCATGTCCAGTTTCCTACATGCTTATATGCTACACACGACAGAAGAGGTGGCTCTGACCAATGGAGAGCTGAGCCTCGTGACAGGTTCCTCCTGGGTCCGCAGTTAGGCACGTGATGGGGGGTGGAGGTGGTGGTGGTGGTGAGGGGTGCTTTCCAGTCTTCTGGTAACGGCTTTGTCCTGTGATGCCAGGACAGTGGTTGTTATATTCTAGAACTGTGTTCCAGGCTACCCTTCCTGCCTGGGATGATTCTTGAACAAGTGCTCAGGTGGCCACATTCTGTCCAAAGCCTGGCACGGCTTTCCAGTCCCTGCTGAGGCCAAGGGGGAAGGGGCCCTTTAGCAAGTCTGACGGGCTGTTTGCAAACACACAGAAGGCTGACTGTACGCCCCAGACCTCAGGCAGGGCTCTGGCTTCAGGAGAGTCGTCTGGCTGAGATCCTGAAGACCGGAAGAAGAGGGGAGGAGATGATGAAACAGATGAAAAGAGTGGCTGGCTTTCAAAGCCTTTGGCGTGCAGCTTCTGAGTGTTTTAAATTCTTAATTCGCACCTCTCTGGTTATCATCATGAGTGTAGCCAATGGCACTTTTTGTTTGGCATGGAGGTTACTTTCTGCCTTTGCTCCTTCATGCTAAGGCGTTTCACCTTTAAAAGAAAAGTGCACCCCTTAAAAAGTCCTATGTCGGTCAGGCTAGCTGTCTGGCACCCGTCTAGCTCCACCCATGTTTGTTGAATGAATAAACAAATGAATGAAATCTTTACTTTCAGCCAAGTTTCCCCTCCTTAAGATCTAAGCATTGAGAGGACACTGGTTTTAAAATGTTTTGCAAAACTCAACCAAGAAAAAAAACTTATCTGAAATGCAGTGTTAATGTGCTGCTGATTCTACCTTCGCTTTTGAATAACTTGGGAAATTCAGCGCAGAGACAGATGCTCCATCCGCAGGTCTGTCTTGGATCGGGCTAAATCCGACAGGCGAAGGGAGCCGGCTCCGGCCCAGGAGAGCCGGCCTGGAGCTTGCCGATGCAGGCGCCGACCTCGGGTCTGCAGAGACCTGGCGGCCGGCGGGTCCCCGGTGCGGGGCGCAGGGCCCCCGCGCAGGTGTCGGCCTGTGCGCGGGGTGCGCTGGGGGTGCCGGGGGCCTGGGAGACCCGAGAGAGACGTTATTGTTACACTGTAACGAGTCTGATTAACATGCTCCTGACACTTTCTCTTAGTTTCTCGGGCTCCTAGCAACAGCGCACAAAGGCGCGGGATTGTCCCGGGCTCCGCGGGGACACGGGGCAGCCTTTGATCTTCCACCATTACAGCGGGACTGCGCGACAGGCTCGCAGGCTCCGGGCGGCCCGCGGCGGGCGAGCGGGGCCCGCAGTCGCGGCC